AGGAAAAGATAATATTCAATGGACGGATTACATATTTGAAATACTACTAACATACCATAACAGGATGAAACACTCGGCAACAGGATTTACCCCAAAGAAGCCCGAAAACCCAGTGTTCAACTCAAAGTAAAATTAAATTTAACAATGAAGGGAAAGAAGAATCGTATATGTCCAGAACTAGGTGTGGGCGATGAGGTTAAAATTCTTAAGAAACGAAAGCCCAATGAAAAAGAAAGAGTTGGAAACTGGTCACAGAATATTTATACAATAGAAAGTATGGAAAATAAATTAGGTCAAGATTATTACAGAGTTGAGGGCAATGATAGGCAATAGTTACGATTTGAATTGTTCCAGCTTTGATAACCTTGCGAATTATTCTTGCGAATTAAATACTAATCATGAAAAATGATACCTACACAAAATAACAGTGTGAAATGTTCCAGTTTGAAAGTTGCTGGAAGTGCAAAGGGATGAACAACACAAGGTTGTTAAAGAGCAAGTTGCCCATTGATACATGTAATCGTGTATGTGAATATGATAAGTCCGACAAGTGTATGAAAAAAAGATAGAAACAATCGTCGGTTCTGATGAAACCAAAATACTTTCAAAGCTAAGCAAAGTGCAAGAAGGACAGGTCACTTACTACATCGCAACTACGACATTGATACAGATATGGACTGGCTAAAATTAACAAAAACATAATCAAAAGGTCAAACTACCAACTGCGAAAGACAATGAAGCAGTTTGTAAAGATCAGAAACCATCCAGGCCGCGAACGTCTTAGGTATCACAGTGTATATCACGGTCGCTTGTTGTATCTTATCATGAACTGTTTATCCGATATGGAAAAGGTTACAGAGGAAATTAGAAAAAACAGTTTTACAAAACTGCTGCTACGAGCTTCAATGGCTTTACATGAGCAAAGAAGTTATAGTAAAGAAAAAACCGTGCGGATGTTTTGATGTTTGGCTGGTTGGTTGGAAGGGTCATTATAATACGAAAGCCGAGGAAGTTATAGAGTATGTAAAGTATGTATTTTCACTACAAGCAACAGCCATATCATTCTTCATTAATCATGCTGACTGCAGCAACCCTAAACCCTATAGCTATGATTGTGGCAATCCTAAACCCTATAGGTTGAGTAACTCGATTTCTCACTTTTGTTTATAGTTGCTTTTATTCGTGCTTGCTTGCTTTAACTGCGTTTCTTTTGTTCTTGTATGGGTGCTGCCTGTGCTTTTGCTGTTACGTTTTCGTTTCTTGCAACAAGCGACCCCCCCCCTCCCCCCCACCCCCGAGGGCGCATTCAGACTTTTTCAGAAACAGCACTCCGAACGTGTAAGGATGCAACAGAGTCGGGTGGCCAGATTACATATTGTAGAACCGCAACCCCGAACGGTTGGTCTTGGCCTGGACAGGCAAGGCCGATAATATGTGAATGAATTATACCGGTCCACGCCACCTTGGCACGCCTCGGCACTCAACATCCAAAACAGATGAGCCGACCATCTTCCTGCACTGCGCACGTATGACCACCGCCAGCTAACACTGCTGAAACTGGTCCCAAATCTGCTGGCACATCACACTGCCCCGACACTCTCAGTCTCTCGCATCCGAAACAGATAAGCTGGCCATCTGCCTGCACTGCACACGTATGACATTCGCCAGCTGAGACTGCTGAAACTGGTCCCACATCTGGTGAGACTGCTGATTCTGGTCCCAAATCTGCTGGCACACCACACTGCCCGAAGAAATTGAATCCGAAACAGATGAGCCGACCATCTGCCCGCACAGCACAGGTATGCATAAGGCCAGCTGACACTGCTGAAACTGGTCCCAAATCTGCTGGCACATCACTCTGCCCATATTCATTGTTTCCGAAACAGATGAGCCGACCATCTGCCCGCACTGCACACGTATGAGCACCGCCAGCTGACACTGCTGAAACTGGTCCCAAATCTGCTGGCACATCACACTGTCCCGAGTTATTGTATCCGAAACAGATGAGCCAACCATCTGCCCGCAATGCGCAGGTATGACCATTGCCAGCTGAGACTGCTACAGCTGGTCCCAAACCTGCTGGCACACCACACTGCCCATGTTTGTCGTCTCCGAAACAGATGAGCCGACCATCTGCCCGCACTGCACACGTATGCAAAGCACCAGCTGACACTTCCAAAACTGGTCCCAAGTCTGCTGGCACAACACACTGCCCATATTCATTGTCTCCGAAACAGGTGAGCCGACCATCTGCCCGCAGGGCACAGGCATGTTTAAAGCCAGCTGAGACTGCCAAAAACTTGTCCCAACTCTTTGGCACATCATTGAGTGCGCTGCAGGCTATCAAACCGTCTTTCCTCACGACGGACTTCCAACAGTATGGTGAGAATGTCGGAGTCCGAGTCCACCTGCGCATGTTTCCGGAGAAGCATCCATCACGTTGCAGCTGTGGCAACCCAACGCGCGTTTGACCCAGCAGGGAATGTGCACTGTAGCCAGCGAGAGCTGGTAACAACGCCAGCATTGCCGTGCTGGATGTCCAGGAGACTATGGCAAGTGCGAAAAGGGCACGATGATGCGGAAGCATGGTCATTTGGACAAGTAGGCTATCTGCAAAGACAAGACTCCATAGAACGTTGCACTGGAATGAACTGGAACGTCCCGACAAGTGTGATGTAGGTATAGCTCCCAAAACAGCTGCCTTCATGAACGTTGCAACCTTATCCATAAACGTTATTCTTGTTATCTTGTCAGTATTAGGATAGACCATTTCCACCTTCAAGGTTGGGGATTTCGGGCTGGGCGTTATGGGATTTTCTATGGGGATACTGTTGTATGGAGTTTCGGGTGAGGGTTTTCTATGTGGTTGCCTATAGGTCTTCTAATGGCTCTATATTGTGGATCTTACTATGGGAATTTTGGTGAGGTTAGGGTTAGGGTATAGGTTGTTATGGTTTTGGCTTCTTCAGGTGGGGTTTCCAAGGGTTCTACCTATGGGTCTTGGGTGGATTGGGGGTTGAGGTATAGGTTGTTATGATTTGGGTGCTAGGGGGTGGGGCATGGTTGGAAAATGGAAATGGTCATTGCTAACTTAATCAAGGAGTCTACCTGAAATTATTGTAGCATCCCTAATATGATTTACAGAATAATTTTTTTAGGTGATATTGGAATCTCTGGGTAGGGTGTGGGGATCAAGCCTCCTCTGGGTCTGTGCGTTGAAGAGATTCGGGTTCAAGGGTCTAGGTTTCTGGTGTTTCGGGTCAGACCTCCTTTGGGTTGAACAAGAGGGTCGAGGGTCGAAGGCCTCCTTTGGGAATATGACTTTAATGTTGGATGTAAGGGTCTACCTATAGTCGCCATTGTTGTTCCTTTGTTGGTTCAGCCGAGATCATGTTTAGGCTCCTGTCATAAGGTATCCCAAGAAAGGAGCTACAAAACCCTGAACCCTAAACCCTGATTAAGGTATTCCTAAAAAAGGAGCTACAAAACCCTAAACCCTAAGGTATCCCCAAAACGGAGCTACGAAACCCTAAACCCTTAACCCCAAGGTGTCCCCCGAAAAGGAAATACAAACCCTAAGGTAACCTCAAAAAGGAGCTGCAATGGGACTAGAGGTAGCTTGTGGGGTTGAGGGCCCGAGGCCTCCCGCATGGCTTTTTTAGTGAAGGACCTTAGGATAACTGTCGCACACTGCTGCTGAATATCGCTCAGGTTGAGGGTAGACGACGGTGCAGGATCAAGAGTAAGGAAGAGAGCTCACAGTATTGGCGGCATGTGTGGTGTAATTACTCCACCAGAACGATACACAGAAACCCAAACCCTAAACCCTCAATAGAAAAACACAAGATGACACTATAACAGGTATTGTGTCCCCATGTGCATGCTCTTTCTGGCTCCTTCAAACCTCCGAGACAAAGGCATGTTCTGCGACAAGCGCTGCAAACCCCAAACCAACCAGCGAGCCAAAGTCGACCCGAACCCCCCACCCCAGTCCTCCCGACGAAAAACAATGAGCAAACACTCTGATGCAAAAACTTGACCACAACCATACAACCCAGAACCTTATAAACCCTGCGAACCTAAACCCGAAAACCCGAAACCTTAAACCCTACCCCGAAACCCCTAAACCTCTAAACCCCTAAACCCTCAACCCTACCATACCCTAAACCCTGCACGAAAAGGGATCTCAACCCCAAGCGGAAGCTCTTGGTAGGGATGATGGAAGTAGACCCCCTAATTTGGGCCCCATACTACTAAGGGTACTTTATAGGAACCCCCATTAGGGGATCTACTTTTGGGATCCTCCCGGGGGTCTGGGAAGCGGAAGCTCCTGGTAGGGATGATGGAAGTAGACCTCCCCTTCCTCCTCCCTTGCTCCTGGAGGAGGCGAGGATTTAGGCGTTCAGGGTTTGTACTTGGAGGGTCGGGGGACTTAAGTACCCTTAAGGGGATCTATAGGGGTTCTATAAAGGGTTTTTTAAAGGGGTCTATAAGGGTTCTATAAGGAGGGTCGGGGGACTTAGTGAGTAGTTATTTTAGAGACTTACAAGTACCATAACCGTACGGTTCGAGCAATTTGAGGAGGGACGTTCTAGTAGCTTGAAGGCTCTCACAGCAGGCCCAATAATTATCGTTAAACGACTATCCAACTCAATGGCCAAAATCACCAACCACCTGACCCCTGAACCCACCCATAACCCCTTAGCCCTTAAGCTCTAACTCCTCACTGCCAGGTCCCTGAAAACCCTATCCAAACCCGCAGCGCCGAAACACCCAAACCGCGAAATCCCGAAAGCCCTGTAGTGAACCCTCGGACACCATGCGTCCCTTTTAACTTCCCTTCTGATATATAACACCCAAACCTTGTAAAATGCGATAAGAATACTACTGGGTAGAATTCATAAACCCCATGCATAATCCACCCTTACAGATAATCCTATAAAGCCCTGGACAAAGCCCTAGATGCCCCTCCAAAGCCCATGGAAAGCCCTTTGCTTGTCTCAGCCTGCCAGCTCACTGACGGCCTCGTCAGGGGCTCTAAGTAATTAAAAGCGGGGTGACTACGTCTTATGGTCAGGTTACTATACTTGTATACGGACCAATAAGGGATACTGTTTCTAATTTCTGATCCCTAAATTACTTGTTCGATTGCGTTAGGGGCCGTTTGCACTGTAGAGAAACAGAGTTCGCAGCTTTCGTTAGTTGCTTGCTTAGGGCTCTTTCCCTGGTGTTTAGCAAAGGTGTCAGGCTTGTAGGGTTCAGGGCATGCGGGCAGGGTGCTGGCCTTCCCGACTGAGCCAACGCTTCTTGCAACTACCCCACATGTTGGCCTACAGGCAAGCCCACACCTTCATATGCTTCCTGACTCCTACTTCTCATATAAGGCCTTTCTCATTACATCGCGCTAGTAGAACAGGGTTGCGGGGTACACAAAACTATATTGATACTAGCGACCATAAGGCCATGAACCCAACCCTAAACCCCCTAAACCCCCTAAACCCCAAACTCTATACGGCCATGGGACATTAATCCTAGTTGTTCCGACCGCCGTAGTATGAGGGCCACTCTTGGCCTTCTTGGGTTTGAGGTCTCGGGCTCGGGTCTTGGGTTAGCAGTTCAGGGTCAGGGTGCAAGCTCCGAAGCACTAAAATCCCCATAAGAAGAGCCCGTTAAAACTCTGGCCAACAACCTGATGAGATGTACCTAAACCCCCCGACTACCCTCTACACAACCCTCAAAACCCACTATTCAGGACCATAGAGGCTCTATTAAAGGGCATTTGGGTCCTGGTAGAACACCCTACGAGAAACATATGCTTGATCCGTACACCCGGGTTTGGTGTGGAGTTTTGTTTGGGCTCTCATCGTTCTCATCGCGTCTTTGGAAGAGCCTTGGGCTCTGTCGGGTGCTATATGTGCGGCTTTCTGCTTCGGGTGCAGGGATTGATCGTTTCGGGTTGTAATATAGGAACCGGATTAAGAAACTTTGGGCTTTTATTAGGGCTCCTTATTTCAATCCTACTATTTTGGGGTTACAGGCCCAGGGTTTCTTAATCAGGTTCCTACATTCGGGCTTTTCACATTGGGCGTCCAGGTTTTGGGGTTCAGGCTACTCGAGTCCAATACTTACGAATTTATGTTTGTGCTTGACATGATACAAACTCACGCCTTCTACCTGCCCTCATGCGCCTGCTCCTCGGTGAACCGAAGGAAACCCTGCTTGCTGTTAAGTGTAGGCTTTTGAGGCTACAAGTAGCACCACCCTTCCCGCAGGTCCCGGGGCCTTAGGGTTTTAGGATTTGGAGCTTCTGCGGTTCAGCGCTTTAGGGACTATACTGCTTGGGGGCTCAGAGTTTTAGGATTTAAGGCTTCTGTGGTTTAAAGCTTTAGGGATTACAGGGGTTGGGGGGTTTAGGGCTTTACGGCCGAGGGCTTGGCGGGGACTAGGGTAGGGCGCTATGGGCTTATAGCTACCAATTTTGTGGCTAGCGGCGTACATCTTGTGGAGCTTTCCCAATGTAAAGTAGATGCTGCAATTCATTCCAAGCCCCTCGAGCCTCTAAGCCCTTTGGAACCTGAATCTGACCCCGCCCCGCCCAAACAGCTACGAACAGCATCAGCTGACCTGCGCGAACGCCAGAGCAGGCGGCGGTTGCGGGCAGCGGCTGTGACCTCATGCTGGTCTACCTCATACTTCAAGGATCATGAGCTGCCTTAGAAGTAGTTTGGATGTTGTCACATGCCTCGACATGATCTCAATGACGAGCTCGAGCTGTATATGTCGCCTGAAGATGTGCCCTTGCTCCTAATAACAACTCTTTGGAATATTCCGCAAACCTCAGCCCTTAAATCTAGACCCTATGAACCCGGTGCACCCCAACCCTTGATCCCTAAATGCTGAACCCTCGAGGAGCAATGTAGGAATCTCTGTTTGCGAGTGGCAAATCCCGACCTGCCATAGCTCACTTTGCAGGACCCTAAGGCTCCATGAACCTACATGTAGGGCTCCTTTAATAGTTTAAGGGGGTTCGGGTACATGCATAAGGGCTTTGGGATAGTTAGGGTATAAACAGCTTCGTGTACGAGTCCCTATTTAGTATATACTTCAACCTCAAAAGTAACTATATATATATTGCAGAGCCTAAGTATATACCATGTGGGCACATGAAGCCTCAGCGGGAGGAAGCGTCCTCTTCTTCGGACCACACCGGAGGGTCCAAGAACCCGACACTTACATCTCCCAAGGCCCCAAAGACTCACATTTTACGCCGTCAGGGCCCAAAGACCATAGATCATGCTTGATAAGTCTTTTGGGCCACGTTGAGCCCTATAGGGTTCGTACCCTGTAGCTGCAAACCCTGTGAGCTCAGAGCACAAATACTAACAGATCTGATTGTAACACAACAGAACCCTCTAATCAAACACCAGCCAATCCTGACAATGGCTTAAATCACCCATGGCAGAACCAATGCACACGCAGACGATGCATCCATATCTACATATGTAAATAAATAATCAAATATATATATATATATATATATATATGTATATATATATATATATACATACATACATATATATATATATATACACACGCACTTCTGTCAAGGGTATGTGTATATGGGATGTATAGCTGAAGTTCAATTTTACACAAAAAGTCAAGTTCAAACGTAATTGGTCCTACTTGTCGGGTATCATGGTGAACTAAAGGTTGACCTTTTTGGCGATATTAGGGATTATGTAGGAACTATACTACCCCAAAAAGGTTAAAGGTTAGCTGCTCTACTACTGGAGGTCTGAAGTATTCGGATCTGCTGCTCAGATGACTCAGATGTGGTGTTCAGGTTGACTTTGCTAGAGAAATCTAGAATGCCTGGGTAATCCTTTGTTACGTGTGGGCCGGATCCCGCCAGCCTGGCGGCTTACACTCGAATTTGCTATTACTCTGAATGGGTTTTGGACTTCGAAACCCTAGCTACTATTTGGGCACTTATGGACCCTTAGGGATAGGGGAGTTTCCGAAAGTAACTTCAAGGGTTCCTCAAGGGGTTCCTTACAGGGTTCTATAAGGGATCTATAGGGGTTTGGGGTTTAGGGTCTACTTGGAGGATCATGTGACCTAGTAAGTAAGGTTATAAGTACCTTAATTGGGGTTCTAAGTATTTATATGTATAGCGACCTTAACTATAACCCTAGTCAGAAAGTCCCATGACCCTTTGAGTAGGGGCCTTCCTGAAAAAGGGGTCTATAAGGGATCTACAGTAATGGGGTTTTTTCGGGGCCTAAAGAATTACATTTGGGCTCCTTGCTGGAAAAATAAACCTTGTTCTAATCAATCAGGCCCCTAATTACAATAACTCACTATTTTGCGACAGGGAGCCATTCCAGAGAAGTTAACATCGAATTTAATCCTCGGGTGGGAGATGTATGGCGTGCAGGGAGTATTAGGGACAGTCGACTGCACTGTTCACCATCATGCGCGGCCGTGCTCAACCTTAGGGCGTTTCGCAGAAGCAGGCACAGGAGCCATGGCTTCGCAGTGGGTAAACTCTCGGTGAGCGTCTTCGACGTCACTGATGACGCGAATGGGCCGCATCAGCAAGTGAGCCGCAGCTTGGAGAGTGCCTTCGTCAAAGACGTCAGTACGTCCCGGGACGTATCCCGCGGAAGTCAGGCATTTGTCCGTCCCGGCGGACAGGGTTTTGGGGCCCCTCTACTATAACTCGTCACCCCAAGAGCCATCGCGTGCCATGTGTGAGCAGTCCCTCTGGTACTCCCGGAAATGATTATCAAATCATTCTGCAAACAACTCGGCAAGTGTCTGCATGTCATGTAGCCGACGATTTCCGTCCGAAGGTGGCAGTGATCGACGGGAATGCTAGCCGGAAAGCAACGTGCCAAAGACTGGCAATTACCGTCGCGTCGTTAGGATACGTTCCAGCCCCCCTTGTGCAATCCGGCCCATGTAAATTCGAATTATATAATCTCGCCCGAAATAATTGCAGCAACTCGAAATTCGAATGACACCCCGCCCGAAACCATGGCGAGCAGCCCCAAATCGAATCAAAACCACGCCTGAAACCATAGCCAAATCCCTAAACTAACACCGCGCCTGTGTTTGAAAGCGTGACATGGACTTTCAAAAACGCGCATGACATCGCTTGGTACAGAAGACCTACAACGATTTGTTCAAGCTGTATAGTGCTTAGAGCAGGGCCCTGGCACATATGATAGCATCGGTATGACAAGGAAGCAGAAACAATAGTAGTGGTATTGTAGTGGCAACTATGCAAAACATCCAACCTGACGCAACTTGATTCTGGGCTGCAAGCTCTGAATCCTGAACTCAAAACCACACCAAGGAAGCCCTCTGCAGGCAAGCTGCGGTCCAGGGTCTTGCACTCTACCGACATGGGGTCGAGGGGGTACATACCTGACAAAGCTACGGATCGATGATGTCGAAAGGATAGGTCTGAGGCTGTGTAACAAAGGGCCCTTAATAATTAGACTAGGGTTTTGCGGCTTGTCATAATATACTTATATAAGAAGGAGCCCCGAACATAGGATGGGTAATTAGTGAGGCTCCTATAGTAACCTCAAGCTCCAGTACTACATCGCGACCTACGGCGAGTTTGAATCAGCGGCTGAGAGCTCGCCGGCAAGGCGGCGATTCAAGATACTTCGTTTCGGGTAGATAGAGTTTAGAGCGTTTAGGAATATGTATGAGTGGTTGCCAAAATAATGGGTCCCTTTTTGGGTACCCTAAACATTAGGTGCCGTATTATATGAAGGACCCAAAAACGGACCATAGTTTTGACAACTACCCATAAAGGTTTAGGGGCTTTTAGGAGAGAAACGGCTGGGGGCGGAAACGGGCAGCAAGGGTAAATCATCTTCACGCCCCACGGGATCCAAAGTACCTCTGGTGGGCTACTTACACAAGCCCTATACTCCAAAATCCTCAGAAAGGACTAGAAGGACTAGTTGATACGATGTAGGTACCTAAGACTTTCTGGGTGTTCAAGCAACACTGATGGGCATGGTCTTGCGCGAGGATGACGGCCATGTGTAACGGCCAAAGATCACCCGCCCGAAACCAGACTCACTCAGTGCCACGGACACTGAACGCCCGACCCAAAGCCCCAAACACCAAGCCCCTGATGCTGAAACCCTATGAAACTCTTTAGATAAGCCCCCCTAGTACCCCAAAGAATCCTTGCTGACACCCTACAAAACTCGTTCGAAAGCTACGTTCGTGTAAAGAACCCTAAACTCCAAACCCTTCACCCAAACCCTAGTCAACGTAAATACCCTTTATAGACTCAGACTCTTAAGGGTCCCTAGGACTCCCTCAAAAGGTCTAAGGGTCCATATTTAGGGGCCTATACTTGAAAACCTTAGACCTAAAACCCTGACGCCCTAAATCCTAGATCCGCTATTAAGATGCCTTGCGGCAGCTCCACGTGCATCATTTCCTCTGCGAGCCAATGCAGCTCTGGCTCCTTCGTGGGTTCAATATTCCCAGAACGTCCACGTACCCAAATAGTAGGGTTTTAGATCCCAACATCCATACTCTGAATGGTTTTGGGGGACCTAGAGCCCTCTTATCTGAGTTCTTGGACCCTCTGGGATTGCGGCCTTGAGAAATCCAGTGGGCTTTGATGAGACAACTTTGGGGGGGCTGGGCTGACACGGCGCCCCTTCTCAGAAGCAAAATTGGGAAAACATGCTTCTGAGAAGGTTCTCTGTTTTCATTCGCAAATGCAAAACGGTTTCAAGGCCCAACATGTTCAGCATGAACATACGTGTCAAGAAGTTAGGGAATATACCATGTTGCTATTTAGCACAAGTTCGTGGGAAGTGACATAAGCATGTTTTGATGGGTCTAGGAATCTGACGGTGTGCAAAATGAACTAAAACTGGTAGAAAAACAGTCCTGCAAAACATAAATCTGAGAAAACCTGGTTCGTGGGTGGTATAATACGAAGTGTTTTAAATCAATGATGGTTCCTGAGGAAAAAGGAAATCTGTATATAAGTCCAAAATGTGCAAAACAAATAGAAGACAAACATCCCAGAAACAGGCAGCAGTAAGCAGTAGAGGCAGAACAGCAAACATGAGTCAGAGGAGGAAGCCAAGAGAGGACAGGACCGGACAATCTGCCCCTAAGCCCTTAGCCCCCAACATGCCCAACCTAGGTCGTCAACCCTAGCCAGCCTGAGGCATCATTTTCATAATTAGTTTAAGACTAAGTCCTCAACCCCTAAATTGTTTAAATGAAATCATATCCCAGGACTCAGCCCCCCTGGACTCGAATATAATATGCTGAAGCCCATTTGCGGTTAATATTAATGTTAGTTAGTTTGTTTGTTTGCTTGTTTGTTTGTCTGTTAGTTAGTTATGATGGCTTATGAGGACTCTTGACGAACCGAAACGGACGAATAATGACGACGAGACGAGGATGACGATGACTCCGTCCATCGCGAGGATGCTGTCAGCCACCGGACCTCAGGGACAGCTAAGCACAGAGATGCAGGTCAGTCAGACAGACAGGTCGAATGAAAATTTCGGCAAGCCACTGAGCTGTTGTTCCAGGTGGATGACCAACATGTCGTGGCCTGGCAGGGTCTTATATTATAAGATGAATCGGATGAGACTCATAATTAGACTCACACACTCGCACTCACTCGGCTGATGATCATTTTGGTCGAGGCCCCTCATTTGAGTGATTCGCCAGGAGTCCGGGAGTCTCTCTGAGATGATCTGTGCTGCATAGACTGGTGAACTTGGAAGTATGTTATCTTAGTATTTTGTCTCATTCAAGTTTTGATATTTAATATCAATTACCATTATTTTTGTTTAAAAATTTATTAATTATTATAATTATTTACAGTGAGATACTAGGGAGACTCCCCCTCCTGTTCCCGGGTCTCCGGGTGCATCCCGGGACGACACGTCCCTCTGTGCATCCTGGGACGACTCGTCCCTGACCATCTCCTCAGTCCTCATCCTCATCGTCAACATCCACGACCACCGGGGGCCCCTGCCCCCGCGGGTGGGACGACAAGCCCCTGCCCATCTCCATGATCCGGGCCATGACTCGCACCGTCTCAGTGGGCCTGTGATAACCTCCCGACGACGAGGAGGACGGCTGGAGCGACTGCCCCCCCTGGAGCGACGGCTCCCCCTGCTGGACCCCTGAGGACGACGGCTGGAGCGACTGCTCCCGGAGCGACTGCTCCCGGAGCGACTGCTCCCGGAGCGACTGCTCCCCCTGCTGCTGCTCGTCCTCGGGCGCCTCGTCAGGGAGATCCTCCACCGCCATCGCAAGCACACTGGTCGCAATCGTGGAGGAATCCTCCAGCAAAGCCAGACAGGCAGCAACTGCTGCCCGACAGTCTGTGCCTCCCATCTCCAGAAACTTCCGGAGCCTGTGCATGGCATCCTTGCCCTTCTGCAACAGGTAAGTCGCCGGGAAAGCATTCCAGCGTGTGTTTCTGGTGCAAGTCGCCCAGAAACTGTCTCCCCGGCTCTGGGGCACCTGCCCCACTGCACCAACTCCTCGGGTGAACTTCACCCGCGAATCCGGGGGCGGAAGGGGGCCACTGCCCCCTGGCCCCCATCCATCGCTCCCAATAGCATCGGAGAGCGTGGCGGCCGTGTCGATCACCTCCAGGACGCAACTGCGCCCAATGTAACTGGGCAGGTGCTGCAGCAGCCAGATCCCAGCATCCCGCAGGTCATCCAAGACCTGCTCCTGACAGCGGAGCTCGATCCAGGCAAGGCCATCCTGGCGGACCTCCGCCAGGATGGCCTTTACCCAGTCCTCAACTCGCCTCTCGTAGGCCATGGCTGACTCAGCCCGGCTCGGGATAATAACTACACCCACTTGGAGAACTACTCCCCTGTATTATTATTGGATCGGAGAACTACTCCCTTGTAGCTACTTGGAGAACCACTCCGTTTAAATGTTTAACTACACCCACTTGGAGAACTACTCCCTTGGGATGGGTTTGTTAATTCAACCCGCGAATAATAAATTGATATTAGATTAAAACCTGGATGGTCCCGTATTCCCCCAGTCAAACAAGTGAGTATAATCTACATGTTATGATACAAATGAGGCCAAGGCCGGGAAAAGCTGTTGGTGGGTTGCGAAGAAGTGAGCTGCAGTATTCCACACAATTTAGTGTTACCTGTACTGTACTGTCTGACAGAGATAGTCTGATGATGTATTTCTTTCCCGGGCCTCAGCCAGTCCTAAATTGAATAATATATTCAATAATACTGGGTGTCTCCCCTAGCCAGAAAGCTACTTCATTGATGGGTTGGATGATCGATGCACCCATGAAATCATTTACTATCGAGAGTATCATATTTATCAAATTTTTAACATCACTAGCAGTGGCCTCGATGGGCCTGGGTATTGATTCTTAAAGTCTTAACTGATACGGACGGTCAGCACTCACGTCACTGAGATCAGATCTTCAGGCAGCGGTCAAAGGTGCATGAAATCAATGACTGACACAGCCAACAGCGACACACCACCTGTCTACTGAGCTGAGACTGTCAGACCCTGCAGAAAAGTCTCACTGAATTTTATTTTATTTGATTCAACCAGTGACACCGAGCCTGAGCTGAGACGAGCATGTCCGGATCTTGAAGTCGGCGAGGAGCGAGGTGGTCCTGCTGGTCAAGGCTAGATTCATTAAAACCACTACAGACATTTCTTGTGTGAGCATCAAGAGGCCAAGGAGGTGAGGGTATGTCAAATTGACGATGTCATTCATAATTAACTAATTAATTACTGCATGGCATCAAGACATTCCCAATCGACATCAACAAAGTGTGATTCTTATGAAGTTATGACGAAGCAAAACAAGCCCAGGCTGTAGGGTCAATTACTGCCGCTGGTGTGTCAATCTGAGGCCGGATCAGATCAGGGAGGCTGCTAGCAGATGTCATAGTTACTCAGTCATGACTCATGTGATGCTGTCCTGCATTGTCGCTTGCCGATGCACTGTGGATTTGATTTAAATATAATAATGCAAGATCAGGTGAGGAGGGTGTGATGGGTGATTGAATTGGTTGGAACTGCTCGCCCTGAGTTGTGCACTCCCTACTGCAGGGTAAGGGCCAAGTCAGGGAATGGCATACTCATGACTCATGTGTGTCGCTCGCTTAGCTTGTCTAGTATATCCTTGGGGATTAGCTCATTTTTGAGTCATCATCATCAGCAGGAGCTTTTTTAAAAGTTTCGTATTATACTGTTTTTTCCACCACATACCTATTAGCTAAAATTGAAGACAATGCCTGTCTCTAGTAATTTATCTTAGTACATCAGAATACACTCGCACGGTATAACAATATTGATATTATGATCCCTTAAGTAACAGTTCTAGCATATTGTGTTATGAACCATTAGAAGCCTGAATTACTAATAGAATCTTGTGTCAGAAAATTGATAAATAATTAGAATCATTCATTTGACTCGTTCGCATGATGTTTCGGAGTTGGAATTCCAGGTATGGCTACCTGTCAACAACTTACAAAAACTCATAATATGCTATTCTCCTGTGTGTTGCCAGTATGCAATCGTAGATTCAGACAATGTCTCAGTGTCTCATAGTTTCTAGTGGGTTGTTGATTCACCAAGGATTTCTCTCGTGGTCTGGACAGTCTCACACACTGACTGGGGGGCAATAAGCAGTCGAACTTGACACTAAGTAAACTTAGCAGGCTGCTTGGACTAGAGGCATCTGCACAATTGCATCGTGACCCAGTTGTCTGTAGTGTTGTTGTCATTGCTGTGTGTATCTAAGAACGTTCATGAACTAATTTAATTCATGATAATTATTAATTTATAGTTTATTCGGATTTCAATACTAAATTATGTGCCACAGGCATTCTCGAGCAAAGCCTGCAGCGTGTCTGTGTGTGTGCTCTCGTCGTATCCCTTACCCCAGGGTCACCGACGGACAAAAATAACCGATTAAACCGGGAAGCCCTCACCCTGCCACCACAACCCCCGGACCCGACTGAGGACCACACACTGGCAAACAACATTAACATTGCATAATATCATCAATAGTCTGAAATTAAATCTGCAGCTACCAATTTTGACAGTATTTTAATAGTAGTAATGACAGTCTAGTCACGTCTGCACTCGAAGGGGCAATCACACTGGCAGCCACCGGGGATTTCTCGCCCGGTCCGGTTGCTCAAGACACACCTTGAGTTAGTTGAACCACCGAGGATTCCTCTCCCGGTCCGGTTGCTCAGGTTGCACTCAGCAACACCCATTGGGCTTACTAGGATTGCTACTACCACTTACGACTGAAAAAAAATGAATAAGCACTCGATCCACGTACTTGCTACTAACGTTGGTACAGTATAAACTTAGTACTACTACTTACTTAGAAGGTAGAAGAAGGACTGGCAGTAGTAGTAGTAGTAGTAGTAGTAGTAGTAGTAGTAGTGGTAGTAGTAAGTATTTGTAGTA